GCAACCCGGCCCCCGGCTCAAAAAGGTTGCCTACCCCTGCTGTAGAAGCTGGACAGTGAAGAAAGCCGATAGGAAGACAATCAAGTCATCTGAAATGTGGTGCTGGAAAAGGGTTCTATGGGTACCATGAACTACCAGAATGACCAATAAATGGGTTTTAGAGCAAATCAAGATCCCTAGAAGCCAAAATGACTAAACAGAGGCTATTGTACGTTGGCCATATCGTGAAATCTGACTCATTCGAAAAGGTGACCATGCTTAGTAAAGTGGGAGGCAATAGTAAAAGAGGGAGGTCACACTCAATCAAGGACCTAGCTTTGTATGACTTTGGGGCTAAGCAGACGGCGCAAAGTGCTGTCTTCAGAGCAAGGAAGGGGAGGGGCAGCCACGCGCTGGGCGCCACAACCCCTTCCCCAAAACGTCCTCAGAGCAGCCGGCCCTCCGCACAACCGGTGCTCCGACGATGCCCTCCCGCTGCAGCGTCCGCACACGCTGCAGTGGAAGAGTCGCTGAAGGTGCACCGGCAGCCTTTTGCGGCGCACCTTCAGCGATTTGTGGAAGGAGTACTATTTTAGCACTCCTTCCAGGGGCAGCAAGGCTGCGCCACGGGGCCAAGGAATGGGGATGCCTCGGCCCCGATCCGCAGCTTCCTGGGGCAGCCCCATGCCGCCCGTCTGCTTCCCCCCTTTGTTGTTGTTGTTGTTAACTGCCCTTGAGTCGATCCCGACTCATGATCCTGTGGAGGAGACATCTCCAAGGCTCCCTATCCTCCACTGCTCTGCTTATGTCCTGTAAATGTCTATCTGTGACCTCTTTAATAGAGTCCATCCATCTTGCATCTGGCCTTCCTCTCTTTCTACATCTCTCCATCCTTCCTAGCATTATTGTCTTTTCTAATGAGTCATTCTTTCTTATGACGTGACCAAACTACGACAGCCACAATTTTATCATCTTGGCTTCCAGGGAGATTTCAGGCTTGATCTGCTCCAGGACCCGTTTGTTTGTCTTTTTGGCTGTCCATGGGATCCTCAGCACTCTTCTCCAGCACCACATTATCTCAAATGCATTGGTTTTCTTCCTATTTGCTTTCCTCACTCTCGCAACCGTACCTGGTAAAGGGAAAACAATGGCTTGTACAATTCTAACTTTCACACTCAGTTGTATCTCTTTACGTTTTAGGACCTTTTCTACTGCTTTCATAGCTGCCCTTCCCATTCCTGGCCCAAGGTATGGGAACTTTGACTATTTCAATTTCCTCATTGTCTAGGTTGCTTCTGTGTAGATCTTCCATAGTCATTCTCTTTCTTTTCTTTATGTTGAGCAGTAAGCCTGGGCTGTTTGGTGTCTTGGAGGTTTCTCATTTATAGTCTCCATACGTTGAAGCTGACTTGATGGCAGGTATAATACCAAAGCAGATGGAATGCATCGAGACAAAGATTCCAGCTAGTTGGTGGGAGAAGAAGAACTTCTGCTACTCTTTTTGGTAGAAGTTCCTATTCTCCAAGGCACAAAGCAAAAATATGCAACACTCTCACTGAGGTGGTAGTAGGAAGGAATAGTGAAGGGTCTGGAAACCATGCCCTATGAGGAACAACTTAGGGAACTGAGTATGTTTAGCCTGGAGAAGAGAAGGTTAAGAGGTGATATGATAGCTCTGTTTAAATATTTGAAGGGATGTCATATTGAGGAGGGAGCTATCTTGTTTTCTGCTGCTCCAGAGAACAGGACCCGGAACAACAGATCAAGCTCCAGGAAAAGAGATTCCACCTTAATATTAGGAGGAACTTCCCGACCCGGCAGTAAGGGCGGTTCGACAGTGGAACACACTCCCTCGGGGAGTCTCCTTCCTTGGAGGTCTTTAAGCAGAGGCTGGATGGCCATCTGTCGGAGATGCTTTGATTGGGAGTTCCTGCATGGCAGAGGGTTGGACTGGATGGCCCTTGTGGTCTCTTCCAACTCTATAATTCTATGAACAAATATCCTTGTAACATATTTTAATGCTTACAGAAACCATAGGGTACAGATCTAGCCATTCTGCAAATAAGAGTTGCATGCTGGTTCCATCTCCTTCAGCACTATCTGTTTCCACCACTTGGGGGAGTGTGGAAGGCAGAAATTAGAGAAGGAAGGAAGGAAGGAAGGAAGCGGGGGGGGGGGGGGGGGGGGGAGGACCAACACCAATAATTTGTACAGTTTTAACCAACAATGATGGAAAAGAGGAAATGCCAGGCTAAAACACTTGGCCTCTGATCCAGAGCTGGGAGTCATCTAGTCCTCCAGATATTGGGAGGCTGCAAGTCCCTGCCAGAATAGCTAGATGTAAAGAATGCTGGGAGTTGTAGTCCCACAATATCTGGAGTGCAGGACCTTCCCATCCCTGTTCTATAGTTTTATACAATGCTACATTTCTCTGAAATATAAGAAATGAAGAAAATGACTGAAGAAAACGTCAAATCCTAGAATACCGTAAAGCCGTGGCAAATATTTGCAGCCGTGGGAGAAGCATGACCAGAAGCCATACTTCAACCACTGTTTGTCTTTGGCTGCATCTGCACTGTAGAAATAATGCAGTTTGACACCACTTTAACTGCCTTGACTCAAGGCTATGGAACTCTGGGAAGTGTAGTTTTGTGAGACATTTAGCCATCTCTGTCAGAGAGTTCTAGTACCACATCAAACAATTC